TGCTATAATCTCGACATAAATTATTAAATCAAATTATTAGTCAAAGACTAAATCAAGAAATAGTTGTATAGCACATTATCTCTTTGGTCGCCGATCGATCTTCAACGGTGGCCTTCAGCGGTGGGCGATCAGGGTCAAGCTACGATGGTGTCATGGCGAGAAGGGAGGAGTCGGTGAAGAGAGGAGTTAGAGGACGGCAAGGACACCGAGGCGGAGGGCGGGGCTGCGGAGGCCGAGTTGGTGAAGGAGATGCGATATTGTGATGAGAGATATAGAGATTTAGGGTTGAAGAGTTTTAATGTTTATTATTATTATTATTATTATTTACAAAGTTGTATTTATAGTAACTTTTAGGCTAAAAGTCGTAGCTACAAACCCCACATGACTTTAGATCACGTGCTTTGACATATAATTACAACAATGAGAATCTCGCTCTGATGTCATTTTGTTAGTTGGGAAGCTACCGGTCCTCTAAAAAATCATGACTGAAATGGTTATGCTGTTAATCAATTTTTGAACTTTGAAGGTCGATATTATTTATCCTAACATAGAATATGAAAAATTAGAAAAAAAAAATCATAAAAGAAAAAGGAAAACGTATACTTTGATTTCTTGATTATTTCGTATGTTTAAATATGATCGTTTTATTGTTTGTGGGCATTGTGGCATTTAAAGAATGTCGCTATAATCATGTTGAACATATACTAGTATAAATTAGGTTATAGTTACAACACACCCACACACACACACACACACACACACACACACACACACACACACACATATATATATATATATATATATATATATATATATATATATATATATTTTGTTATGCTATTGTTGGATATGTAATGAAACTCTGTTTGTAAGATTCAACTTGCTAGCCTTGCTCTAATAAAGTCCAGCTCAAATTTTATAAGCTCCACTAACAAAATAAAATTCAACCATCAATTTGATCTTCAATTCACAATAAATTTTAGAGTGGCTCTCCTATGAGACCACCTTACGGATCCTTATATATAAGATGTTAGAAAAAATAGTCTAAAATGACATGTTAAGTGGTTATTTTGTGGTACAATTATTAGTGGGCTCCACTTTTGATTTGGGTCGGGTCAAAGTGGATTCGGGTTCTTCGTAGTGAGACGAAGAGATTGATATATTGTACGCTCAAAACGGATAATGGGTGAATGAGATATTGATTCTCAAAGTAGACCTATTGAGTTGGAAAAATGAAGGGAAAAAGTGAAGCTTTTGTCCCACATTGGTTTGGGAAGAGAATTTGCCCCACTATTTATACAAGAGCACTTTTAAAACTTATTGAATTGTATAGCATAGAGGCTCTTTCTCACACGAAAGAGTGATCGCTTGATTTTTGCTAAAAACCCTACACAAAACACGAGTGTATCTCTTCATCTTTCCTTCCCTTTTCTACAGAAAATAATAATCCTTATTTTTGTGAGATTATTATTCGGTTTTACCAACGTGATATCCTACACGAGCTTATTGAATTGTATAGCATAGAGTCTCTCTCTCGTGTGCAGGGGTGCAAATCAAATCCCAAAATGAGATTGACACAAAACACGAGTGTATCTCTTCATCTTTCCTTCCCTTTTCTACAGAAAATAATAATCCTTATTTTTGTGGGATTATTATTCGGTTTTACCAACGTGATATCCTACACGAGCTTATTGAATTGTATAGCATAGAGGCTCTCTCTCGTGTGCAGGGGTGCAAATCAAATCCCAAAATGAGATTGAAAAGGCTTGGCTCAAGCTTAATCTCGTGTGCGCGGGCACGAATAGTCGAGACTAAAAATGAGATTGAAAAGGCTTGGCTCAAGCCTAATCTCGTGTGCGCGGGCACGAATAGCCGAGACTGAACAGCATTAGCATTATTGTTGTGGAGATTAAATTCATCCGTTAATTTCAATTTTTAAATTCTGAATTTAATTTTCAGGTAGTAGCCTACTGTTATAGTTGTTGCAAAGCTAGTCTTAATGTCAGTTTTAATTGCCAAAGTAAAGGCTATTCATTCATTCAATCCTATGTAAGAAAGAGTTGGGCAGCAGAAAATTTACAACATAGAAGCCATCTTTTTCTAGCCTCAAAACTCTCTGCTTCTACTCTTTTCTTAAGCCGAATTGTGTTCAAAACGTTGCTCTAGTTCGCCTGATTCCTTGTTTGGGTGCTCAAACATTGAATCGTAGCAAGTTTTATCCTGTGGGAAGCCTAAGCTACAATGCTGCTAGCACTTGTGGGAGGTAGCAAATAAGATTTTAAGGAAAGAGTGATCGCTTGACTTTTGCAAAAAACCCTACACCAAACACGAGCCTATCTCTTCATCTTTCATTCCCTTTTCTACAGAAAATAATAATTCTTATTTTTGTGGGATTATTATTCGGTTTTACCAACGTGATATCCTACATAAGACAGGTCGGGTCAAGATGTAATTGTAATACTTATACTGTAAAATGTAATATTAATGAAGAATAAAGTGTTTGTTACTTATAAGAGAACTTGCAATATTTTTGACAAAAATGTAATACTTTAATTCAAAATGTAAAAATATTACACTTTTCCTTATAAATTCGTAACAAGAACTTTATTCCTGATTAGTATTATATTTTTTAATATAAATATTATATTTTTATCTTGACTGACCACTTACACAAATTTTTGCCTAAATTTATCGTGTATACAATACACATAAAGGATATTTACTGCGATGGAATATTTTGAAGATAAATTGAAAAACGTTTTGATGTTTCTTGGATCTATCATCTTAAACTATAATATTTTTTGATAATATTTGTTGGAAAATCATATATGGGAAGCATGCAGACAAATGAGAAATATATTTTCGAGTATTATCAACTGTATTACAGTGTAGTATCTATTTAAATGAGAAATATTTTTTTGGTTCATGTGTTGTGTGCAACGTAAGAACATGCTTAATATGCACACATCATAATGCCTAATATGCACATGTGCATTTTTAATCCCCAAATAATCTCATCTATAGATTTATTTTTTTCATGGATGAGATTGGTTCTCATGGACTCATGGGGAGGTTGGTTCTCATTTGATCTCTAATACACACACACTAACATTGGTTCCTCCACAATTCTAGAATTTTCGACCGAAATTTCATTGCTCTATGATATTTGGATGCTCCATTGTGTGCCACATTAACAAAAACAAATAGGGACGTACAACTTCTCCATAGTGAAATCTTTACCTTGGGATGTTTGAAGATGAAGAAGAACTATTTTGGCCTTGTTGATTATTCCATATTCCACATTCTGTCTCAGCCACTGGCTTCCTCGCTGGACGCTGGTGGCTGTGTTTATTATTTTTATTTTTTTTAATATACAATATATATTTTAATAAATAAATAAATAACTAAAATTTAGGGAAAATTGTGAATTTGGTCCCTGAGTTATAATGGTAGTGATGACTCAGTCTCTGAGTTATGACCGTATCCGTTTTTAGTCCCTGAGTTATGAGCGAAGTGGCACATTTGGTCCCTGACCGTTAAAACTAACGGAAAAATTAAAAAATATTTAAAATTTTAGGAGTAAAGTAGTAAATTCACATTTTATTTTCTTTCTTATATTGAAATCACTTTTGCAACATTATTTTCAACTTCCTAACATTCTATTTCAAGGTTCTTCAATAATCTTCGTATGACTTGTTAGTAACTTGAGTCTCGTATAAGGAACATGTGACTCAGCACAAATAAGAGAACACTTGATCATTGTCATCAAGCATGTAAAACACATCATCTTAAAAGTTTCTGATTTTCCTTACTAAACATAATGGTAGTCAAACCATAACTTTTTTTTTTTTTTGAAAACAGTCAAACCATAACTTTTGAATACAAGAATATATCAAATTTCTCAGGTTATTTTTATGACAAATTCATCAAGGGAGTAACTTGAGATTTTTAGTACGTAAAATTCATTCGTAAGATTTGCAGTAACTTAATCAAGAATCGTATATTCTGACAATATATGAATGAGGAACCTAAGACTCAATTATGAAAATTCTAAAAATTTTTGTAACTTCTAAAAACAATTATTGACGAAACTAGCATATGAAAAAAAATTTACATACTAAAAATCTAAAGTTATTCCGTTAGTGAATTTCTCATAAAAGCAAACTGAGAAATTTGACATTATTTGGTATCTCAAAATTTGACATTATTTGTTGCTTAGTAAAACAAATTGAAAATTGATAGGATAGTCTGTTTCACACGTCTGAAGACAATGATCAAGTGTTTCTTTATTTGTGCTAAGTCTTAAGTTTGTTATACGAGAGTCAGGTTCATAACAAATTATACTAAAATTATTGAAATGCTTTTAGAATTTGAACAATCTTGAAATAAGAGGCTAAGAAGTGAAAAATAATGTTGTGAAAGTGATTGATATAAGGAGAATAAAATGTGAATTTCCTACTTTACCCCTCAAATTTTAAATATTTTTTAATTTTTCCGTCAATTTTAACGGTCGGGGACCAAATGCGTCACTTCGTTCATAACTGAGGGACTAAAAATGGATATGGTGATAACTAAGGGACTGAGTCAGAACTTGGGTATAACTCAAGTACCAAAGATGCAATTTTCCCTATTATATATATATATATATATATATATATATATATATATATATATATATATAATATATTTTAATAAATAAAATTTGTAAAAAATAAAAATAAAAAACATTTTAAAAAGACACGTGTCAACCATGTGATGACTTAACCTGATAAACAAGTCATTTTAGACTTAATTAAACAATTTTACAGGTTTAAGGATCTGAAAATTTTTTTTAGTTAAGAGACCTAATTGTACTATCCAATCAACTTAGGGGGCTAATTTGACCATTTTTTCTAAAATAAATAATAATAGGTGAAAAAGAGCAAGATTTCTGTAAAAAGCAAACTGAAATCGTACGAGAGGCGCAAGAAAAACTGGAGGGAGAGTCAAAACAGTCCAGCTGCTTCTACTTTATCGATAACATTCGCGGAAGCTCAGCCTGCACGCAATCCAACAAAGATGGGATGCCATCATCTGATGACCGATCAACGGTCAGATCCGAACGGGTTGAACATGCAGACAGACGTATATACATCCATATATACGCGCGCTTTCGCGCATATATCCTCTCATTTATCATCTAAAAATTTGGAGCCCTAATTTCTTCAGGAGAATTCAGGTATCCTCTGCTTCTGCTTTTTTTTCTTCTTCTGCTTCCATTATTATTCATGATTTTTTTGCATACTAGTATTCTAATTCAGTAGAATACCTATAAGCTACAGTAATTAGTATGTCTTTTATTAAATGAATTTGGATTATTTAATGATGTATTTTATTAAATCTGGTGAACTGTGATTACTTATTATATTTGAGTATGTTTATCTTGTAATTACTCAATTTTGGGATTGTAACTTTCTAAGCTATTTGTAAATACAGGTTTCCGGCTGAGTTAAAACTTAAACTTTAGAATATTGTGTATAGGATAGGATTAGGATTAGAGTACTTAATTTACACGCTAATGTTGATTCAGCTTACATTTTTTGTGCATTGTGCTGTAGAAACATTTGAAAATGTCTGTTTTGCTTTTTCCTTTAAGCAAAATTAGACATTGGGGTCTACAATATTGTTTGCTTCTAACAAGAATTTGTCTAATATGGAGATGCAACTTGATAGTCTCTCAGTTAAAAGGTTTGGAAAAGAAGAACTTAGAAACCTTTAGTGGAAACGAATTTCAACTTTTGACTAATGGGATTATTTCGAAAATGACTTGTTTGAGCATCATCTGTAATGGGTATCTTATACTTTCTGTAAATCTTGACTAATGGGACATTATTGTCACGGACTAGCTATTCTTTCCCTCGCAATAGCTAAGTCAGCCATGCTAATTTAAGGATGGATGACTAAGAAAACAAGTAAGGCAAGAATCCCTCAAAGAAGCTTATAAGAAAGGACTCAAAAGCTTTGTAAGGAACTTGGATTACTTGAACTCAAAGATTTGCTTGGATTCCTTCTATTGTTTACAAATGAGCCCCATGAAGGGTATTTATACCTATTCTACCTCCTCAATGGATGGTGGGGATCTACTTAATCCAATGGCTAAGATTTGTTCTCTAGAATCCTCCAAAGATATCTACACAAGTAGGAGGATTCCCTAATGTTCTAGAATATTCTATATATCTCTACTACCCCTAGTGTTATGTATATGCTTCTAGAATATTCTACAAACTATGGGAAGCTATGGGAAAGTCCAAGATAAGTCTAGGAGGATGTAGGAAACCTCGGAAAGGTGTAGAGAAATGCCCCGCGCGTTACATTATGCCCCACAAGTCATAACCTTGAGTACTAGGGGTTAGGGCTGTACTCTAGATATGATATGCTTAAATTCCTAGATTTGGAACAAATGTATGCAATAAAAAGTATTAGTTTTTTTTTTTTTTTTTAAAATATATCTTTGTATCAATTGCTAACACTTCATCTGTAGTGAATACCATCACCATGCTTAAAAGACAGAACATATTTTGCAGGAGAATTCATGGCTTTCTTGGCAACTGCCGAAATTTGTGATTCAAACGCATCTCATCTTGCGAGTGGCGACTTGCGGGTCCTGCATCCGGTATTTCAGATCTATGGGCAATGCCGTTCATTTTCAGGCCCTATTGTTACTCTTAAGGTGTTTGAGGACAATGTGTTGGTGAGAGAGCTTCTCGAGAGCCGGGGCGAAGGCAGAGTCTTGGTAATAGATGGTGGTGGGAGCATGAGGTGTGCCTTGGTGGGAGGGAATTTGGCGCAGCTAGCTCAGAATATGAATTGGGCTGGCATTATTGTAAATGGTTGCATTAGAGATGTCGATGAGATCAACGGCTGCGATGTTGGGGTCCGAGCATTGGCGACACACCCTCAGAAATCCGGCAAGAAGGGCATTGGCGAGAAACATGTGCCTGTTTATGTAGGCGGAACTTTAATTCGCGATGGGGAATGGTTGTATGCTGATAGTGATGGTGTTCTCATTTCAAAAAGTGAGCTCTCTATCTGAAGTTCTTAATACTCTGTTGGGTTCTTGCAATTGATCTACATTGAACTGTGGTGATGCTTTGATCATTGCACACAACCTCATTCTCATTCACTCTTTTATGGTGTATCTATCTAGTTTATCCAACATTGTTGTCTGTTTAGGTATGTTTAATTTACATCCAAAAACTGATTTATTATACCGGATAACGTACATAATTTTGCTTGATTATGGAACTTGAACTGCTGAAGTTAGAAATTTGATTCTTTGATGGGTGATTTGGTTTCTCCTGCAAAAAAAAAAGGTGTAATACAGGGAAGAACAGTGAAACACTTGCTGTAAAAGTTTATAAAAGTTAGAGAGATTTTATGATAGTCATTTAAAATTTATCACTTTACAAATTTGCTGTAAAAACCTATCACTTTTATGATAGTTTTTTTTTTAAAGTTAGGTTTTATTTTCTGATGCATAAAAAATAAAAAATCCATATATAAATAATCATCACTTGAATCCAATTTTATCACTTAAATTCAATATTTATATTAATCTAGTTAAACTCCTTCAAATAAATCTCCTAATTAGTTCCAGACACCGCATACCAATAAGTATATTTTGAACTATGATTCACATTATAAGGTGAATCACTAACATACTTGTTTATTTTTAGCATACATTATAAGATAAACCACTAACATACTTGTTTATTTTTAGTATATTGAATATTTATTTGTAGTGTACAATAAATTTATTTTTTAAACGTTTATTTTGAGTGTATTGAATATTTGCATGTTCATTTTTAGTATGCTACCTAAAAGAATTAACTCTCAATATACTAAAATAAACATTTATAAGTTGTCCATCTTGCAGTGTAGATCATAATCTACAATATAAATTACTGGCCGCACACGAACTGGGTCGAAACAGATGATGCATAACGTTCCGCAAACAAAATAATCAATCTTTATACCATGGACCAGAGTTCACAGTGATGGTGCATGTGTATGTGTTTAATGTTGTGAGTTTTTGTGTCTTGTGTTATAAAATTCTGTACTTTAAGAGTATGAATTCTGTACATGAAATAAATTAGTAATTGTGTCTTATATTATGAGTTTGTGTCTTGTGTTGTGAAATTTTGTGCCTATGAACACAAATTATATACCTTAATTAAATTTGAAAAATAAGTAAATATATAACATGTGTATGCGTCTTGTGTTGTGATTTTTTATGTCTTGTGTTATTAATTCTATACCTTACGAGTATAAATTTTGTACTTCGTAATTTCGATTTAGAGTCCATAATACTGTGTGAACCCTGGTCCATGATATAAATTACTCAAAATAATTGGTTGGGCCTAAAATCAATCCATGTGCTCTATCTATTCAATGCAGTAATTATTTTTGGGCTAAGTTCATTATGTGGACCATAAACAACCAAATTAACTAACGATAAATCAACCAATACTTATATCATTCACTAGGTCCACGTAACAAGATGGATCATTGATATACATTCATTTGCTCTAACGTGAATAGCCACCATTTTAGTGAAGCCCATTAGTCAAATTACAACCTATTTGATTTACGGAATAAAATTAAGAGAATATAAATATATTTCTAAAAAGAATGAAATAGATGAGAAATAAAATATGAATTTTAATTTATTGGTTAGTTTGTAAAGGGAATGAATTTATGATTATAGAAAGAATTCGATTTTAATGTTTCGCTTATATTTAAGAAATGGACAATAAATAATAAATTAAATGACACAAATATTCATAGTTCATACCCACAATAGAGTGCGAATATGAATGTAAGTGATTTATAATTTGTTTATTACATATAAGTAAATAAAATAAATTTGAGCATATTGATATTTATATGTAAAGTTACATTTTGTATTTAAAATTTTGTTTTTTTTTAAATAACTCAAAAATAAATAATATCATTATGTACCCCTCCTCGTGAAAAGGATCAATCTTTTAGTTAATTCAACATGATCATCATGTCATATCTAGAAGGAAAATTATTAACAATTATAAAACCTTTACTAGAATGATGGTGACTTTTTGGCGAGGTTTTCACACCTGTGTCATAGAGAGTTTTGAATGATTGATTATCTCCCTCTCTCTTCGTTCAAAACGTACTTATGGAAAATCAATTTGACATGTTTCAAACTCAACGATTTTTGCATAGTGTGTAAGAGTTCCTTTTTGGGATTTTCCCCCTTCTATTTGTTCAAACAAAATCGTGGATTCCTATTATTTATGTTTGATTTTTTTTAAGATCTTTAAATTATGTATCTTTTTTATTTAGTTGATAAAGAGATATTTCAAAAATCTAGGGGATTGAACAACTCATTGACAAAATTATCAATTAACTTTATTGTCACTTGCACATTTTAATTTGATTTATATATATATATATATATATATATATATATATATATATATATATATATATATTCCAAAGTCAAACTAAGGAAGCTTGGTATATTTGAACATTGAAATGTTAGATTGAGTAAAACATTAATTTAATCTAAGTTGTGGTTGACCCTTTCATATTATAGACACACTAACTTATATAATTAATGGCTTAACAAACTACTTACACAGTTACACCTAAACTTTTGATTTTTGAAGTTGACCTTCCAGTATCACCTGACCTATATGGCTATATATGATGTCAAAGGAGAATATTGGGTTGAGGGTTGTATATAATGGGAATTTTTATTCACACCACATTTTTTACTATTTGTACCACCTATTTAATAGGTCAAACTACTTTATAGATAGTGCTCATTAAAAATTGCTATTTGCACCACCATCATTTAATGTGGTCAAAGACTAATATTTATTATATATATATATTTTTTTTAATCAAATTATTAATTAAAAAAAAAAAAAACAAACTAAACGTCACCTTCTCCGGTGAGAAGGCAACTGGGCTGCCTTCTCCGGTGAGAAGGCAGCCCAGTGGGTTGGCTGCCTTCTCACCGGAGAAGGCAACCCAGGTAGAAGGCTACCTGGGTCGCCTTCTCACCTTCTCACCGGAGAAGGCAATGGTTTCCTCCTCCTCTTTTTTTTTTTTTTAATGAATTAAATTTTGAATTAATTAATTATTACTTAAATCTAATAAATGCAGTTTTACTAAGGTGGTGCAAATAGCATTTTAACCTCTCATTAGGTTATTTGCACCACTGTGTATTTATTATAAATTATCATCTTTTTATATTTTTAATGTACTTTATACCCCATTTTAGTCAAACAGTGGTATAAATAGCAACACCCGTGTATAATACACTTTAATTTACTTTTTCTTTATTTTTATTTTTTTGGGTGAAAGGGAAAGTTTGATTTGCTACTCTTGGGATAAGAAAAAGTTTGATCCATATATAAGTAAGGGAATCACAATTTTAAGTTTTAACCCTTTAATTTCTTTTGGCCTTTTGGGTTATAAAGTTTAATTTTTAAAAGTTTGATTTTTTTAATTGTTAAATGAGTTGTAAATTTGATTACTCGACTAATTGAGACATTAAGTTCCATTTGCATCTAGAATTTTATGAGAAAATAAAGAATATATTTTAGAAGTTATAAATATGCTATTATAAAACCTTAGGTACAAACAAAGCTTAATGTTTTAGTTATTCGAGAGATTGAATTTACAAATTATTTAACATTTAAAGAATCAAATTTGTAAAAATTGAAAGAAATAAATTAGATTTATAATTTGATAATAACTTATGAACTAAAAGTTCACAAGTTATTTTTCTTTAAGTAAAATGAAAATGTTAAGTATATTCACAACGAGTATTGCTTCCATTATGTGATCTGTATTGACTAGGTAAAGGAAAAAAAAAGAAAAAAAAAAGAGTACAATTGTACAAAAATGGGGAAGCCTGGATAACCAATAATCAAGAAGCCCATATAAAAAACATAAAGAGTAAAATAACAGTCGTTATATCGTGCACCAGGGCGCATAATGCATTGTGCGCCCCGCCCGACCCAAAACGACGTTGTTTTGGTGCATTGTAAAAAAAAAAAAAAATTTCTATGTTTTGAATGCACAAAAATTCATAACTGAATGCACAGAAACTCTTAACTGAATGCACAGAAACTCTTAACTGAATACACATAAACTCTTAACTAAATACACATAAACTCTTAACTAAATACACAGAAACTCATAACACAATATACAGAAACTTTTAACTGAATACACATAATGGAGTTTGGGCCGTTTGGACGGACGGAGTGACGACAACAATTGAAACGTGCGCGTTTTGTGCCTGAGTGCACATTGCTATGTGCGCCGTGGTGCATGATATAAATTGCTGTAAAATAAGAGTACATGTAGTACAACTTTAAGCAAAAAGAATAATATATTATCATATTATGTATATTCAATTTATTTACACATACATAATATATTAATTGCAAATGCATAATCTAAATGTCATTTTAAATCAGGATTCACAATGCAAGATGAATCCTAATTCATGGTATAAATTGCCCTTTACCATTGATATATTAATATGTATTTATATACATGTCAAGAAAAAAAAGGGCAAAAAAACAAAACAAAAATCAAATCAAATATAACATCAATTTCTAATCAACCACAAGAAAAGTTGAAGACTAACCGAAGCCACAATTCTAAGCTATCTAATTTCCATGTACCAAACAAAGCATAGTAAAGAAAGGAGAATTTAAGAAAACATCATTAAAATTTACAAACAAAAAACTTGTAGTGAACTAAAACACCAAAGTTGATACCACTTTTAGTAACAACTCAAAATACCACTAAGGTAATCTCACATTTTGTGAACCAAACGCTCTCAGAAAGGGAAGAATTAAATGGTATCAACAAAGTTAGCATAAAGTACTATCATACTTTGCGATGGTAGTGAAGGTAGTAACCTGAGAAGAAGGCGATTCAGATGGCAACGTCGAATTGTCGGAGCTCGAGGATGGTGGTTGGTTGTATGCAGCATCTATCTTTCCCGGGTTAGACCTCGGGGCGTTTTTAATCTTGAGGTCCAAGAAGTCGGAGATTAGTCCCGGTTTCGTTACGTTGTAGCCATCGATCTCCGCCTCACCAATTAGCATCTTGACGATGGTTGACATGGAAGGTCGAAGCTTCGGGGCGTCTTGAGTGCAGAGTAGCCCGACTTTCAAATATCTGCAGGCTTCTTCTGCATCAAATTCTCCATCCAGCAAACTGTCCACGAGCAATTCCATCTCCCCTCTCTCGTATAATCGCCATGTCTGCAATCACGAAACTCGTTTTGAGACACAACATTGGGCACAGAGGTCCACATTTTACAAAATATATCCCGAGACCCGACCCCACTTACACACCAACTGGTATACTATCAACTCTGCCTAAAACGCCTAGATGAACCTATGTACCTTTTCAAGGAGGTATTGTTCTCCAACGGGTAACCGAGTGTTTGTGTTGCATCTTCCACATATAATTTCCATCAAAAGAACCCCGAAACTATAAATATCCGCTTTATATGTCAATTGGCCTCGTACTGCATACTCGGGTGCCAAGTAACCTCTGAAATACACATCAAGGATGCAAATGTATGAAAAAAGGGGATGAATAAATTAGAATCATAACGAAAAAGGTGAAAATATTGATATTTATGGATTTTTGTAGGAAAAAAAACGTTATGGCATTATAAGCAATGGGTGCTTTTTATCAGCTGCTTATCACATTTTCGAGAAGCAGGGTGCTAGACTTGGCCCTTAACGCTTATCACTAAGCCAAAAGCTCTATATATAGCTCGTTGCGAAGACGCAACTTTATTTCCTTATACTGCCACATTTTTTGGAGGCAGGGTGCTGGACTTGCCCCTTCAGACCTCCACCCAACAATTCCCCTAGCGACCTGGTGGTGCTGGACTTGGCCCTTCACCGGCCTCTGCCCAACAATCTCGTTAACTTATATGATAGAAAATCGGATCAAACATTATAGATAAAATAGGGTGCTTCTAGAAGTTGGAATTAGAAGCACAATCTCGTTACGTAACGAACAAATATATTCAAGGCTTATAGAAGGCAATGCCACCAAGTGATTGAGTTATAAATGCTTTAAATCTGTGCCCTAGAATACTTCTAAATACTAAGATACAGGGTTATTTAATGAAAACTTACAAAGTTCCCGCAACACGAGTACTGACATGAGTCATATCAGGCGGAACAAGCTTCGCTAGGCCAAAGTCTGAAATCTTCGGCATCAAATCTTTGTCGAGGAGAATATTACTTGCCTTGATATCTCGGTGGACAACGTTTACTTGTTCGTGAAGATAGGCTAGCCCCTTTGCAACTCCGATGCAGATTTTAGTCCGCGTTTTCCAGCTAAACTGAACACCGCTCCATCTCGTACCTAAATGCAGCATTAGATTTATATGAAACAGCTAAACCTAAATCATTCGAAGAGCATCACAAACACGTTGAACAACATAACTAGAAAGAAAATTTTGAAGAGTAAAGGCCAAACATAATTACCGAGAAGGGTTAGTGCAAGACTGTTGTTCTCGAGATAGTTGTATACCAGAATTCTCTGACTGCCTTCCACACAACACCCGTATAGCTTAACTAAATTTTCGTGATCTATATCCGAAATTACTTTAATCTCGGTCAAAAACTCGCGTACTCCCTGTACCGATTTTGCAGAAAGAACCTTTATTGCTGCCATCTCTCCATTTTTAAGTGTTCCCTATTCACAAAGGAGTTAGACAGGTAAACATAGAAGAAAATAATAGACTACTTTAAGTGCTGAAACAGATTAAATCATCAATTTTTACCTTATAAACCGAACCAAATCCACCTTCCCCAATTTTATTTCTAGAACTAAAATCATCAGTAGCTTCTGCTAGCTCGTTGTAGGAAAAGAAGGTCACATTTTCAATACCCGAGAACTCTGTTTACAAGTTAACTCGTTAGAAACTCGAACATGAAATGTATCGAATGACTAGCATTTATTAGAAAACGCTGTCGAGGAGGCGTTAGTGCACCGACCTTCTTGAAACTCGGGTGCTGGTGTACGTGATGAATGAAGCTTTCGACTAAATAAGAAACAACAACTCATAACTTTAAGGATCACCAATAACTACCCAAATCAGTTATCAAATGAATGGCACCAACAATTGATGGAAACAAATCAAAGCCTGCAACATAAATAGCAAATTTACATCAAAGATAGAAATATGGCCACATATTCATAAATGGAGGTGTTATTTATTACCCCCAAACCTTTTTTCTTTATTACTGCAGGTAATTTTATAAAATTTTGAACAGCAATGTTTAAAGATTGAAATTTTGATTCAATATTACACTGATATTTGGATTTACCCCAGATTACATTTATCCATTCAAGCAGAAAGCCAAACTTCTCCTGATTTTTTTTCAAAAAAACACAAACACAAACATAAGAAAGGAAAGGACTGAAGGAGATATCACAGAAATTGAACTATACAGAAAAAGATCCAATTTTTTTATTTTATTTTTCATGTGATTGACAACCTAGCAGGTGAAAACCCCAGAAGCCAAAACCCAGCTGAATCAAGATTCATAGAAGCAACTAGATTCATCCTAGTCAAACCAAGAAAAAACATCATAGTACTAACCTAAGAAATATCATATCACAACCTTAAACTGAGAACAAATGTAAAAAGAAAATTGCCCATAGATGATAGAACCAAAGTTACCAAACCGAGAAAGAAGTACCTGGGCTGGAGAGTTGCAGAAAATAATTAAACCACGGGTGGGGTGGGGGGGTGGGTGAAGGAGGGAGGGCATTTAATATTTATAAGATTACGTTGTCCATATTGTCCGCGTAATACGAAAATGTTGACTTTGTATTGTCCTTCCCCCCATTGCAGTGTACACTACGTCACTACGATCAAACGCTGAATGTTAAACGCTAGACGGCAAGAATGGTATTTTAGGAACAGGCAAATAATATATTGTTGACCTCACAACTATCAAAATAATATTACAAGTGTATACAAAATTTAGATGCATAAAAATAGTATTAAATTTTATAAGGGACCTTATAACATTGTAACCACTAAGTTAATAGTCTAATCAAATTATTAACTTGGCTGAAGTTGTTTCTATAATAGTAAATTCATATACTTATAGTAGTGCTTTTTATGAACCAAATATATGTATCCAAAATAATAATTTTATGTATTTATAAATTTATTTTTTAAAAAATATTAATAAAAATGTCATTAAAAAGATCTCAATTAAAATTTTTAATGAAATATTTTGTATATAAGGAGATTTTAATCAAGGTTTGCCTTGTATGGGGTGAATCTTGGTCCACAATGTAACTACCATTATTAGAAACAAGAATATATGGATGTTCATCCTCCCAAATACTCTGTCGGGTCGGAGCGTGGGGTCCTTGGGGTTGGGGATTCAATCTTGGGAGAAGAATATATGGATGCAAATGACCAAAATAATATTTGTTTGACTTGTTGTTGGTCTCTTAATTAATTGATTATCAAATTAATTAAAAATGGAATTCCATTTTGATGTTTAAATAAGTAAAACATGTTATTTCAGGTGAAAAGTTTTCAGATAATAATATACATTAATTCAATTATACACTGATATGATTAATTCATAAATATTACATAATTGATGAATGATTAGGGTTGACGAGGACGCCTTGGCCAACTGTCTTCACCAAAATATAAAGATATCTTCATTGTTCATAAATGACAAAACTTATGGTCTATAAGAATTTTACATCTCGACTTGATAAAACTGTGGAAATAAAGACAAATCTGAGGTCGTCCATGGCGTTGGTTACTCTGTTCAAATTTGGAGCATACAGATGGCTATGGCCATGACTGTTGAAAGGCGAAGACAATAATAATAATAATTATTATTATTATTATTTGAATTCGTTATGCATTTGGAGCTCTTTATAATTTAATAACTTAATTCTTCTAAAAAAAAATTAATTTAATAACTTAATTAATGTTTTCATAATAGCTGGAAAATTATTTGACTTTATGACAAATAAAAATTAAAAATTGTGAATTAATATCCAAGGAGGTAAGGGAAACGGGAAAATAGAATATAGGGAATATATGTGTGAACTCACATCCATGTGTCAACATGCGAATTTTAAAGTGTATTATTCAAGTGCATTTATGAAACTTAGCTTATAACTGCAACTCAAAATTATAGATTAAACAATAGAATTCTAAAGATGCACAATATAAATAATAAATGTGCAAACTATGATACTTACAAGTTACAAGTGTAATTCAAAAGTAAACATAAAAAATTATAAAAGTACATAACAGAACTTTAAATGTGTAAAATATAATCATAATAAAAAATGCAATATAGACTTTCTAAAAGTAACAATATAATGAAAAACTTTCTCTAACTTTGGTTTCTCTCCCATTTTTGTCTGATCCTAAGAAGTAAAGCCGCCCCTACGACTTGGTGCTGCCGGCTGACGCTTTGATGGAGTGTTGAGCTCAATGTTAAAAAAATTGCTAGGCGCCCTCTAGGCGCTTGGGGACCGCCTAGGGCACCTAGAACGCCTAGGCAGGCGCCTAGGAGGCCGACCGCCTAGCACCTAGGCGTGATTTTTGCAACACTGGTTGAGCTGGCAATGCCATTAGTAGACTCCATCCTCCAGCTGTTTTAGGAATAAATGTTAGATCTCAGATCATCTCCGGTCGTTTTCAGCGAAGGCTTCAGAGACTCTCCAGATCTGACAGGTTTTCTACATTCTTTTCCATTTATTTTGCTTTCTTTTGGTTCTACGTTATCCCTTTGTTCGTTTGACTAGTTTGTTTCCTCTCGTCTCTCTGGCGAGTGTTTCCTTCTTGTCTCTTTGGCAAGTATTTCCTCTTGTTTCTTGGGCGAGCTCTCCTCATAAGCGTGGAATGATAAAATGGTAGAGTCAGACTTGACTATGTTTGACCAGATCTGTGAAGAAGCGCCAAGGTTATCCATCAACTTCGGCTTCAGATTTGTAAAATAGTCTGTGATTCAAGTTTTCTGTAGCATTGCTAGAAAATTTGTTTCTATGTCTGATTGTAAAGAATGTATTACCATTCTAACATCTGTATTGTAATCGTTTCTACTTATGATTAATGAATTAGCATTTTTTTTAAAGTGTAGAACATAATCTTTATAATTGCCAAAGTTAAAAAAAAAAATCGCTAGGCGCCCTTTTTTTTAATTAAAAGATTTTAAAACAATTATTTAAGACTTTGTAATTATAAACTATTTAATACTTTCATAGTTAGTACTAAAATATTAAATATTAACCTAAAAAACATTTATAATTGTAAACTGTATAAAGATTTAAAGAATCAACAACACAATAGCAAAGTCACAACTCACAACGTATTAATATTAGAGTACCTGATTTCAAATAATTTTGTATTACATTTTTAGAGTTATTTTAAAAACGTTGTTGGCTTGAGCGAAATAATCCATTTAAAAAAACATGAAAATATAACTAACCGCAACCTAAACTCCCGCCTATAGGCCGCCTAAACGACCGCCTAGTCCGCGGCGACCTAGTCGGTGCCTAAGCCGCCTAGAGCGCCTAGGCGGCCGACCGCCTAGAACGACGATTCCGCCGAATTTCTAGGCGGTGCGATTTTTGCAACCTTGATAATTACACATGTTTGTAAGTTTGCACTTGGAATATATATATACACACAGACACTCACTCACTCGCAAATATTTTTCATTAAATATTACTGAGAAATTGTTTATTATTATTTTTTAAAAGAAATGCATTTTAAAATTTCTTAAATTAGAAACATGATGGCGTAGCGGTGTATAGAATTTTCATTAATTTTTTTACAAGATTTTTTTTTAAAATACAAAAACACTCACTTTTAAAAATTTCCATGTATCATAAATATCCAATATACAAATTTGTATATAATATTGTGTACTATGAGAACAAGAATTTTTACAGAGAATTTTATTATTAATCAATCATATATTTACAAAATACATGAATGAATGTATTTATAGCTAGAGAGTTAATTTCAGCGGATCGAAGGTCTCGTCTTTGATGACAATTTCAAATTTAGTCCTAGACTATATTTTTTGGATACTTTTGATCCATGACATTTCTAGTTAGGCCCTATTTTAGGTAAGAACATTTTTGTATCTTTATTTTTTTGTTCCATGGTTTTCTTGCTGGTTAAACTACTTTTTGTTTAGTCTTCTTTTGGTCCAAGTTGAGCAACAAGAGCTGCATATGGCTGTGGGAAGCCGATAGAGGAATGCTGTCAGTGTAGATGAATTGATGGGCATTGGGATAGTCATTTAGTTGACCAATTGTCACATGTTTTGTTGTGTTCAATGAAGAGACCATCGCATGGTACTCATGGCGGAGGCCTTTAAACATGTATAGATTCTGCTCATCTAAATCAATTAGTCAGTCGACTTTTACGAGTAGTCCAATTAAAATCTTAGTTTTGCCAAGATACTTACTAGTAGTGAATCCCCTTGGCGAAAAAAATTGCAGCTGACTAATAAAGATATTCAGAGTGCATGCCCGTGAGGGTAAAGCAAAACACATTACACATGCAACTTCAAAATAACCCATCATAGCACCCGATGCCTGGCATGTCCTACACTCCCACCACAACATACATAACTTCATGGGACAAAGACGAGATGAACATGTACAAAATAGTGGAATCCTGACAGTCAAAATTTTCGCCTACAGGATTGACTACAACGGAACACCCATACGGAACTTGAACATAGGAAGTCGGGCATGGGAACGTGTCATCAACGTATCCACTGAGATTTTAACCATAGAGAAAAGGAACAACCTGGGTTATCTGGAATAAATAATTGGAGGATGTAAGTTTGAGGGAGATAACGTGATGGACTATCTATAGATCAGAGTATTTATTTGGGTTAGAGGTGGGTTGGAAGCCATAGATCGTTTTGGTGTACAGGTTCCATATGTGAACAATAATTTTTAGAGTGTTTTATTATTGATCAATCATATCTACAATTACATGAATCAATGTATTTATAGTGATACATGAGATAGTACTGTGATGTGACAAATACGCTAGTGTATTGTATTTGACCAGTGTACGGTCTCGGGTAGCTAAATACGTGGTCAGACGTTCCCGAGCTTAGGTATAATTTCAATGAAAGTCCAAAATCCTCCCTTCCAACATTAAATGTGCTTTATATAGAGGGCTAGAGGGGACACATGTTGAGGGTTCAACATGTCGGCCACGTTTCCTCCATGCTCTGGTCATGATGATAGCAGTTCAAATGACTTTACGTAGCTTGAGATTCCTGACATTTGTATTATTATGATATGATCAGTTGATACGGTAGGGTCAATTTGTCCTTTAATATTGGAGGCTCAGTGCTCGGGAATACCAATCCGGTTCACAAAGCGCAATTATCAATAATCTCAAAAGGAGTGTCTTTTGGCTAGGCTCGGGTCGGGCTAAACTCAACGCAAGTTGATCGTGCTTGGAAGTGAACCTCTTGATCCTCTACGTAGATATCGAGCATGTGTATAAGTATACGGATAAAGGATATTCCCTATCAACTAGCTAGAGCCTGCATGACGGATAATGAAGTAAAAATCATAAAATTAATAAAATATAGAATTCTAATACCACAAATATTTTACTTCAAAAAGTATATTGAAATTCCGGGGTGGCTCTAGAGCATGGTGAGTGGCC